TCTGATCTCATCATCTCATGGGGCATTCCAGGAATCTATGTTTTAACAAATCTCTGGTTGATTCGATGGTCAGCCAGTTCCAGAACCATAAGATTATGCTGACCTCTAAGACCATCCACAGTGAGCCTTTCCAGATTCTCTCGGTGCCCACAGTGACACCATCATCTCAGTCTGAATTTTTTTCCCCTGCAGAGTTCTTTGCAATTTCACTCCTCCTTCTTTCCCACTTCTCCAGATGACATAAAGCTGAGTCAGGTCCTTGTGACATTATGCCAAGATTAGAAAGGACATCAAAAGAGGTTAGTTACACAGACTCTGGAGTAAGTCTGGGCTCAGAAACTACTCTAACATCTGCTAGCAGTGTAATCTTCTGAGTTACGGTTTCTTCCATTGTGAAATGAGAATGGTGATGAGAGTACCTAACTTGCAGATTAAAAGAGTCGTTAGAGAGCAAGACTTTCAAACAGTGCCAGGAAATGTTGTCTATTACTGTTGTAGTCAGTACCGCTGCTACCGCTGCTAATCCAACAGTCTCCCAGAGGGATGTGGGCAATCTGAAAGGAAGAGGAGGTCATGGACAAGCTCTCTTCTGTGGCAGTTCTTCTTGCACCATTTTACCAGCACCATTTCATCATACTCTCCACTGTTTCAGAATGTGCAATGGTCCCCCTTGCCTGCTGGAGGAAATAACCCATTAAATGTTAGCAGAAACATCCCTTGTACGAGGCATTCATTTCGTTTGGAAAAAGCAGCTTTGCCTTTTCTTCCAATGCAAATATAGCTGGGCTGTGATGATCCTTCACTGTCTTATGGCCGCTTTGTCAGTCAAGATTCTGGTTCAGCTGCCTCACCAGAGGCCAAATAACAGTGTTTTAAAGAAGGTAGAAGTTCTTTTCCATCTCAGAAGCAAGCTCCTAGGCAGCCTTGAAGAGCAAGTGGCTGTGTTTCATGAAGTCAGGATCCTGGTACCTTTTGTCTCGCTGCTACGTCACCCTCTAGAGCTGAGTCAGTGATTTATGGTTCCCTAAATGGCCAAATAGTAACTATCTTAGGCTTTTGTGGCGTTATGATTTCTGTGCAACTGCTCAGCTCTGCTGTCGAAGCACAGAAGTGGCCATACTCAATAAAACCTTATTACAAACATTGAAATTTCAATTTCATATAATTTTCATGAGTCACAAAATATTCTTCTTTTCATTTCTTTGAATGATTTAAGTATACAGAAACCATTCTTCATCCTGCAGGTATATAAAACCAGGTGGCGGGCTGCAAATGGTGGGCGGAGTGGGGGTAAACACCCTTTGTAGATCAGAGCACGATCCATAGTTAACTGACCGCTGCTTGGGGATCGTGTTCTGCTTTGCAGGATTAAAGGTTATTTAACGTCACTCTGCCCACAAGCCATCTTTAAAGAAATGGAGAAAGACAAGCAAATGGCTATCATTTCCTTCTGACTAGAAACACTCGGCATTTAGCTGCATTACCTCTGTGCACGTTCTATTGGCCAACACAAGGTCACATGACCATAACAAGTTATAAGAGAATATGGGGAATATAGATTCTAGATAGTTTTATACTTGCCTAAAATTCCAGAGATTCTGCTGCTGAAGAGGGCACAGGGAGCTTGAGATATTAAGGGGCAGTTGGCAGTCTCTATGGTACTAGGGAATCGTTACCTGAAATTACTTTCTAGACTTGAGGTCCTTTGAGATTTGTCTTTCTATTATTACCAAAAATGGGATCTATGCTGCCCAGTTATAAAATAAATCTCCTTTTCTCTCCCTCAAACATACATGATGGTTGCAGGACAGGAAAGTTTTCCTGTCACCCGATGGACAAATACCACTACAGAATATAGTCACTGGTGTCAAGACCCTTGGTGGAGAAGTGCCATTTAATACTAAAAAGGGATGTCAAGGGCTGGGGATGTAGCTCAGTGGCACAATGCCTGCCTGGCAAGTGCAAGGTCCTAAGTTCAATTCCAGGTACCAGACAAAAAAAAGGATATCAAAATTAACTTCAGATATAAAGTTTTTTTTAATCTTTGGGTTTTACCTTCCATTTAGAATTTCCTATTTAAAAATGTTGGTATCTGTAAACCTATTTCCCTTCAAGACTGTATTTTACTGCCTACATCTGTATGATGAACACTTAATGTATTTTGGAGCAAGCGCTTCTCCCTCATTTCTCCGCCATTTTCACAACCCCTACCTTATCAAAAAATACCATTTGCATACATAAAAATACTCATGAAATATATATGCTCATTCTCTCATTTGTGCTTACCTGATGAAAGGTAAAATTAAATGTGTTTGTGGCACAGTATATGCAAGAAAGTTCCCTTTTAATTTCTTGAATTAACATGGGGTGATTATTGCTATATAGCACTACTGTATTTCTTTTTTTTTTTGTTTAATCTGAAAGTTGCCTTGCTTATGTATTAGGTTTATCTATCATAGACCCCCCCCCAAAAAAAAGCATTAAAAGCAAGAAGTGGAAGGCCTAGAGAACATATAAACACTGAGAGATGACAGGCTTTTGCTGCAGTTGGGAGCTGGGGAATAGATAATTACATCATTGTCTCTCATTCCGTTCCCACATGGACTTGCTTAAATGTCATCTCACACTGCAAGTTCTCACTCTTTCCTTCCTGCAAAGCCTTATTCAACCTGTGCTCAGACATCATGATAGCAGCGCCTCAGCCCAGAGTGCTGGGCCCCTGGAGAATTCATATTCAGGCATCACCGATCGTTGACCTGCCTATTGTTGTTTGCGATACTTACTGGTAAAGTTTCTCAATCAATACAACATCAGCCCCAGGAGCTCCTGGGAATGGAAGGCGGCAGCAGTGTACTTAATCTTGGAGCTAGCTTGTGCTCTCTGCTCCGCTGCTAAACTGGGTAGTTGGCCTACTTGATGTGGCATCATTGCTGCTGGGGTCAGATGTGAGCAGTTCGGCAAGTGCTGATGAATGGCTGTTGGTGGTGAAACTCCTCGCCTGCCCACCCAGAGACATTTAATAATGATAGACCATAACTGCACTCGCACAAAAATCTGTGTCGCTTGTTTGTGAGTCTTCTGGCTGGAGGTGCAGAAGGATTGGCATTATTATAGAAGGAAGCTTGAGAGTGGTCGGTTTTTTGGTTTAAACATGGGAAAGGGAAAAGCTAGGGGCACGTTGTAGTAAATAGTTTGTTCTTCCTTCTGAGAAGGCAACTGCTCTGTGTGGGCTCCAGGATTTCACACCGACCTTTCTCTTTTTTCTTACCCTTTGCTTTAGCAAGAATTCTAGGCAGTATGGGAAATTATTTTAATTTTATTAAGATGAGCCATTAATAATGTCTTCATCATTGAGAGGAGTAATTATCCAGAAAGTTAGGCATGGACTTAGCAGTACAACATCCACTAATACAAAGGAGAGATTAAAATCTAAATAATTATTGAGCGTGGCATTGAGTCCTCACCCACTATTGTTTAGAATATAACACTATGAAGCCTGAATAATTCTAAAAATGGCACTCTGCAAGAGGTGTCAGGGCATTATTTATCTAGCCATTTCTTCTTCAGTACAAGCCTGTTTTAGTAATCAGACAAAGAAAAATAAAAATTCTTGGCATGACCTAAATATTCTGTCTGTTATAAATGAAAGCAGGTCTCTCTGTAAATAAATAGACCGTGGAAGTGTCAGGAATGTAATCAAAAGTGTAAATGTTGGGTCCAGACAGATTGTACACAGCATCAGAGGGCTTCATTAAATATTTGATTACATAAAAATTATCTAACAAGTAGGAGAGAGTGATGGCTGGATTTCCAGAGGTGTGGTTATCTTACCAAAGCTTTGGATTCTGCATGTAGGGAAAGATTATGGATAGGTGATTTTTAAGCAGAGCCTCTACTCAATTCATCTCTGTATCCCAGGACCTAGCCAGAGCCTCATGCAAAGCAGGTCCTCTGTAACATGTTTAAAATGCATGGAATAAACTAGGCAATGAAATACAGTGGAAGATGTTTAGGGACACACCTTCTGGGAGTGAGAGAATTAATACTCTTCCACTTCTGCAGGATTATATTGTTCCCTCTTCCCAGTATTAAGGATTATGCTATACTAATGGTCTTAGACTAATGCTGTCTGGTCTAAATGCTGCAAGATAATTTTTTTCAAATATTTGAGGTAGGAATCAACTCACTTTTTGATTGCACATTTCACAAACAAATAAAATTAAGCTTTTTTGCTTTCCATGACCAATGTGACTTATACTCTTCAAACCACTGTGTAGCCAGGGAAGGCTGAGTGTGGAAGACACCCAATTAAACACAAATTGTTAAATTTCATCCCATTCAACTGACAGTTTCAATACACAATTTAGATATAGTGGACTTCTTGATTTTTCTATGCCTCTCCAGTGCAGCTGGGTGTCAAGAAAGGAGGGTCTATATAATCTTCTCATGGTGGGAAGAAGAGGCCCTTGGAAGAATAACTGGCTGCTGTCATTGTACTGTCCTCTAGTGCCTGACAAATGGGCATTCTGTGTCCTCTAATCCTCTGGCATCCGATGCTGGCTTCTGTGTTTGAGGAACTCACGGTCTTTCTCCTGGCTCCCTCTGTGTTGGTGAGTTGGTTTTTGCAGGTGTGTGCATGCTGTTCCCCTGTATTTCCAGCCAGGGAGCCTGCTCTAGAGATTGTGCCTTTAGGGCTCATGCTTCCACGGAAGGGATCCTTTAGACAGGATCCTGGCTACTGCACAGGCTGTCTTGTGGCTCAGAAGAGTTCTGTGGGGCTCTTCCACTATCCTCAACCCCGGCAGGTGCTTTCTTTGCTTGGTCTTGCAGCAACTCTAGTTGCTCTGAAGATTCCCTGTGAAGGGTCTGTCTATTCCCAGGCCTCTCACAAGAAGCCAAGAACATCCCCTCTGCTTTTGACATCCCTAGGCCTGCCCAACACATTTCTTCCCTCTAGGACTTCAGCACAGAGTGAAGGACACAGAAAGTACATAGCTCACCCTCTCACTTCCGTTTTTCCTCCCATGAAGCCTTCAAGGTCTGGAAGATGTGGACTATTTGTTCCTCTTCCAGGCACAGGATTCCTTTGTTACAGTTCTTCCTTCTGCCCAGGTTGCCTTCTCCATATCATCCTTGGGTCTGCAATAGAGAAAGTGGTTCAGAGCACAATTTTAAAAAGGAAAGAATGAATGCTAAACTTAGTAGTTTTAGAAATATTATATCCCTCATGATCTCCTCTTTGTTTCTCTCCTCCATCCAACTCAATATATTTTCGCTATACCTTGGTAATACCCAGCCTAATCAGTGTGGGAACCTGAGTCTCAGGCTCCTTTTAAGGCTGAGCATCATATGAGATGTAGTGGCTTAAGTCACGATTCCCCCACACCCCCCAGAAGACATGACCACATCCTGGAAGCTGTATATGTGGCTTTACATGAGAAAAGGATCTTTGCAGATATAATGAAGTAAAGGAACTCAAGTCGAGGTGTTCTGGATTATCCAGGTAGACAGGAAAGAGAAGACATGAATCAGAAGAAAAGGACATAAGTAGATGAAAGCAAACATTGCAGCCAAGAAATGCCAATATCCACAAGAAGCTAGAACAGGCAAGAAACCTTCTCCTCTACAGCCTCTGGAGGGATGGGGTGCTGCTTTTGTCTTGGTTTCCAAGTGCCAGCCTCTCAAATTGTGTGAGAATAAACTTTGTTGTCTTAAGTCATTCAGTTTGTGGTAATTCAGTACAGCCCCCTAGGGAAATAATGCAGGAAGTGATGTCAGATTGATTTCCCCAGCCATAATAATTTGATTATAACTTCATGAGTGTAATTTTTTCCTTCTGACTGGCTTCTGTGCATTATAAGTTACCTCCGTAGGCTACTATATTTATCTTTTTTCAGAAATATCTCATTTAATTTTATAAACATTAATTGAACACTTACTAGGTGTGCTAGGAGGCAAAGATAAATTAGATGCAATCTTTTCCCTCCAAGAAATTATGTACCTATGCTTATTAGTGTAAATAGATAGTAGTGTCTTTTGGTTTGCTCTGGAATTAGGATTCCAGAAGAGCCTCTCTCCTGATCCAGCAGAATAATTTCTGTACAAATTTGGACTGAGAAATTCAATGGTTTTTATGCCAGCTCAGTGTTCAATCTTTCTTTCCAGGATTGTCAAATTATTCCCCGTTTTCAGACACCAACGCCCCAGAATAACAATAATAAGGACAAATATCTCCGGATAATAAGATAACCTGGGAATTAAAGCATGTAGTAGCATTCATTTTGCAGTGATTAGGCTGTGTTGGCGGGGCCAGCTTGGATAACAAGTACTAATCAACGTACACAAATGCAGATCAGAGCGACTCCTGGACCATCCATGGGAACCTTTTGAGATCACTGCGATCATTAACTTCAAACACACGTTCACCCTCCTCAGCCACAACTTTAATTTATCCAGGGTACTTTAAAGCTGGGTTTAAGAGGTGAGCTACATCCTGTTGGAACTTTAAGGTGGACATTATGGGAATGGGTGCTATATATTAACAGCAAGAAGAAAGGCCAAAAACCAAGAACCAGAAGTGTGCCAGTGTTGTTAAAGCTGACAAGAAGTTGCGCATCTAAAGCTGTGTCCATGGTCCAGCCCGCCTACTCTGTGATCCGAGAGAGAAAATGTTACACAGAAGTGTGAGCCTGGCACACAGCTTGTCTGGTTTTACACCAGGGCCCTGACATTGACTACCACAAAACTTGGGGCAGCGACCTCTGTGCTTCAGTTTCTCCCCTGGGAAAATTGAGACACTAATGTTACTTTTCAAGCTTTGTAAGGAATTAGAATTAGCATTTATAAAAAAAAAAAAAACTTTGTACAGTGCCTAGCACTGAGTGGTCAGTTAATGAATGAGAGCTGTTATTCTCATTCTGATTCCTACCTCTCTTTTAAACAAGCGAGAGGGCATGGGAAGTGTCAGAAGGCCACTGTCCCTAACGCACAGCTTAGGGACCAATGGAGGAGTCATCACCGTGAAGGGGAGGGTGTGAAAATGAGAGAGAAATGCCTCTCAGTTGGGGGGGGGGGTGTCAGAGTGAAGGGAGAGTGACCAGGGTTTTAATCCAGAGATAGGTTTAGTTCAGGTTCTGCTGCCGGCCTGCTGAGCGATCAGGAGGAAGTTTTTAACCCCTGTGTCTCAGTTTCTCCACTAGTAAAATGTAGGAATTGAAATAAATTAATGTTCTGAACCATCTGTCTGGAAACTAATAGTAGTCCAGGACCAAGTTTTCACCAGTGTACATTGAACTAAGACAAATTTTTAAAAAGGTCACTATAAGCAGATTCTCATGACATTGAACTGAATCCACTCAAAAGATTTCCCTTTAATCTGACTTATGCATGTCCTAACTGTTGAGTATTATAAAGTACTTTCCCCTTATCTGCAGGAGATGTGTTTCAAGAACCCTAGTAGATCCCTAAAACCACAGATAATATGGAACCCTACATGTACTATGTTTATACCCATGGTATCACTTAGTTTATAAATTAGGCACTGTAAGATGTTGATAACAATAATAAAATAGAACTATTATAACCATATACTATTATAACCATATACTATAATAAAATAGAATACAAATAATAAAAATAGAACTATTATAACCATACACTATAATAGACACTATTTAAAATGTATGAATTATTAATAGAATTTTCTATTAAATGTTTTCAGGTGAGATAATCTGCCAAAACTGAAACTGCATAAAGTGAAACCATGAATAACGGTGGAGTGCTGTAATGCTCTCTTTTGTAAGAAATAACAGAATGTGAAGAAAGGAGTGAAAGGATGTACATGTCACAGAAAGGCTACAGCAGAGAGGGAGAGAGAGAGAGAGAGAGAGAGAGAGAGAGAGAGAGAGACCCTGAGATTTAGAACTGATGTGTTTCAAGAGCCCTAGTAGTAGGGCTCTTGTAGTAGTAGGTCTGTCTGTCATAGTAGTAGTAGGTCTGTCTGTCGTAGATGAGCTGCCATTAGGAAGTGGAGATAACCTGAGATCATCTCACTCACTGGCTCCCAAATCTGGGGATTTTTTTGGTCAATAAGTAAAAAGAAAAAAAAAAAGCAAAAAACTCTGAGCAGTCCTAAGGTTGCCCATTTTTTTTAAAGTTGTGCTAAGGGGCAGTTGCCATCAAATGTGTCTTTAAAATAAAGGACATTTTAATACCAAAAAGCAAGGAAGGACACAATCTCAGAATAAATGTCAGTCCTTTAAGAAAGATCAGGGCAGTGATGTGAAATCCCATGGCTGATGGAAGGAACCCCACTGCGTGAGGGCAGACACAGCATGGGGTCCAGACACATGGTAGGCAGGTGACTCCGGGGATCCAGGCAAGCACCTGCATTGTGGTGTTCCAACCGGACAGATGGACTCTGGCTGCTGAGTCAACAGAGGAGGTCTGCCAGAAGGCAGGCCTCAAGTCAGGAGCTCAGAGGGCTGGTATGTGGACATGACCTTCTCCATACCTTCTCCATGAGTAAGGCTGGGGTTCGAGGACTTACTTGTAGGTCTACAGGGAAGGAGATGGGCAGATATTAGGAAAAAGCAGCCCCTGCTCCAGGAGAACTGTGAGCAGGAACCTCATTATCAAGTTGTTAAATCAAGCACAGAGGTGTAAGACCAAACCCCAGTCACTGAAACTGGGAGACAAGGTGGGAATCTAGAACAAAACTGGAGGGGCTGGGGATTTAGCTCAGCGGCAAAGCGCCTGCCTAGCAAGCGCAAGGTCATGAGTTCGGTTCCCGGTACCGGAGAAAAAACAACAACAACAAAAAAACAAACAAACAAAAAAAAACTGGAACACAAGATCAGAGTGGAGCTTCCCTTTGCACTGGGACTACTCCAGAGGTTTGCAAACCCACTCAGCATATTCAAATCATCACTTGCCACGTTCAACCATCTGTTCTAATTGATATGAGGTTGGTCCTAGGCATCAGTATTAAAAAACAAATCTCAGATAATGTTAATGTGCAGCGGGGTTGGGAGCCCCTGGGTTACTGAAAGCCTTGGTGGGGAAGAACAGGATCTGCAGCAGAGTGGAGGAGGTCTGGTTATATCTACAGGTGAATGCCAGGAAGCCCTGACTTGGGGAAAGAAAATCAAAGGAGAAGAGAGCTTGGCGGGAGAGCCAAGTGCATATGCAAAAGTTGTTCCTTGGCTGTGTGGACAGGAGCTCAGGGAGAAACTAGCTTGCTAAAAAATTCAGAAAGGTCTTTGCTATTCAGTGGTATAAGCTAACACCCCCATTGGGGAGCACTGGCTTAGCAAATATAGCTTTGTGTGTGTTAATTGCTGCAGTAGATGTAAGAAGCATGACAGGTATTCACTCAAGCAGAAAGAGCAGAATTTCTCAGTTATCTTCCACTCATTTTATTCAAAATTGAAAGGATAGCCGGCTGTCAGCAGGGGCGTTTTGCTCTGTGCAGGAAACCCTAAACCTTCATCACCCCCTGATGGTCTCAAGCAGAAAACTTCAAAAAATGGGCATGATGCTGGCTTCTTCACATATGGCCACGGCTACTATTCAAAGTCCCAAAGGTAATTTTGCTCTGAAACCATAGCAGTAAAAAGGTTGGGTAGACTTTTTTTTACTGTGGTAATTATCCAAGCAAAAGCAAACTATTCAGAGACCATTAGAGGAGTATGAGACAGTTTGGGTGGTAAATATAGGATCCCAAACAATAACAGTAATAATCAGAGCAGCCAAATTTTCTCAGAGCTTATCTGTCTGCTCTCAGGCTGCTGTAACAAAATGCTGCACCATAAGCCGGGTGGCTTAAATGACAGAAACGTAAGGAGGCTGGGAAGTCCAACATCGAAGCACCAGCTGATTTGGTTTCCTGAGAGCTCTTTCTTTGGCTTGTAGGGGGTACCTTATTGCTACCTCCTCACACGGAAGAGAAAAAGAGAGAAGGAAAGTGAAGGAGGGAGAGAGAAAAGTCTGTCCGGTATCTCTTCTTGAATAGACACCAATCACATCATATCAGGGCCACACTCTTTTGACCTCTTCTCAAACAATGTGTTTGAGAACCTGCACTTCCTAGTAGGTGCTCAGACTTTTTCCTGTGCTCAAAGAGTTTATTT